AAGTCACATGTCAATGGATTTGTAGTGTCGCGTTTGGAGCACAAATCTCAGGTGCGCTGCAAAGGTGGCATTCACCGGCCAGCACAAGGGGCCCACCACACGGGCGGAGTAGGTGGTCACCTTTCGACCGTCTCAGGCGTCGGTGGGGCCATAGCGAGAGTGGGACGAAGGGAGGTCAAGGTCACGGTTGATTTATGGAACATGTATGAGAGAACGGAGCTGTTTGGGAGGCCATACCACTTCCATACCACTTCCTCAGATTGTCGATTCCCACCTGAAACAGTTGGTGTTGTGAATCAGACCCATTGGTGTCTTGATCTGAATGCGCTGGCAAGAATTCTGGAAGAATTCTGCAAGGATTGCTTCCAGGCCCACTAGTTTCAAGACATGTCCGCACAAAGACGAGGCAAGCAAACAAGACTTGCCTCTGTAACCACATGTAAACCAGAGGCACCCGCATCTCTCCCCCTCTCCAGCTGGGTGTCCATTCTTGGTGCAGCGAAATCAATACCTTTGAACAAACCACACAAAAGGACACGCGCTCCTCGGCACTGGCCGAGACCTTCTTCGCACCTCCAAGAGCTCCCACTGGTTGGCACAGTGATCATGCTTGTGCGCATTCGAGCAGTCATGAACACAGGTGGGCAGGAAGGTGTCATTCTCCATGTCCTCAGGCACCAGCCCAACGTGGCAGCAAAAGCAAACATGCCGAAGAAGAGAAAAGAAGCATGTTGGGGATAGTTGGTACGATCCTACCCACACGAAACTCGGATGGAAGCGTGCGCCAAGAGTCTGCTCCACAGAGGTACCAGTAGTCCTGAGAACGTGGCAGACAAAAGAAAGTGCACTTGGTGATTGGATTTCAGAAAACAAACAAACAAACAAACAAACCAATTCCTTAAACAACTGTCAAACCAACAACATCCTCACAGCTCAATCCGATTCAATGCATGTTCAGCTTGCTACTCTTCATTTCGGTCCCGGAATTCCAGTCCGAAGCCCCCAACATAACTCTGGCTGAGGAGAAAACCCAAAAGTACCAATCTCATCGAGCAAAGCAAAGCCGACGCACGCCTTTACTGGAAACAACATGTTGTCTGAACACGCTCCCGCTTCAAAAGGTTCATCCGAACCCCACAAAACCTCCCAAGTCATCACATGCAAAGAGTCGAAATAATTGTAAAAAAACGAGACCTTGAGACCTGTTGGAGACCTGCCCACGGAAGTTCGCAGGTCTAAGTACCCGCCTTGCCGATCTCATCGTAGACCCCGCACTGCGTGCCGCGCCCATCGGTGAGCCGCACGAAGTCATGGCGCTCTGGTTTCCAGGAGCCCAGGATCACCACGGCACAGAAGACCAAGATTGCCAGCAGGAACATGGTGCAACAGGAGAAGTCCTTGCAACTCCGTGCCACCTGAGAAATGGGGTGTGGACCAGAGTGAATGCAGATAAAAGTTATGCCAGCATAGACCCCAAACAGTTTCAGTCTGGTGTTTCAATTCCTTGAATTCCTATGTTGGTGGTAACGTCGGTGATCATATTTCCAGATCCTTCAGCTGTTTGGGAACAGCATGTAAAAACAAAAAAACTTGAAAACAACAGTTCCTGATTCCCGGATCACATCTGCAAAAACGAGGATATATGCCAATATATGATATCAAATGAGCTGCAGGCTGCATCACTGTGAGTTCATAGCCGCACGCAGGACAGACAGAGCCGGACACGGCTAGCATCGCCAGCGCAGGAGGACCATGAGAACAAGAGGAGGACACCAGGAAGACAAGAAGGGCCAAAGGACAGCAGGGACACCAGGATAATAGGAGACACTGGGCTGAACTTCAGCAGGACAACTGGATGAGAAGAGGACGACAAAAGGAGGACATATAGTCCACCGCTTCAGGGCCTTGTTCACCTCTTCAAGCACTGGCACCTTGTAGGACACACGGGTTGGTCAGCGCGGCCAGAGGACAACAGCAGGACAAGAGGAGGACAAGACCCGGCCACAAAGCCCGGCTACAGAGCCCGGACACACCAGTCAGTGTGGCCAGCTCTCTCTTTTTTTCTAAGAGAGAACCCCAACAGTAAACTGTTTGGGGAAAAATGACACGAGTTGGCAAAATGACACGAGTTCATCTCACACTTGTCTGATGTGGGTTTGGAAGTGGGTAGCATTCGGGTATGGAACATGGAACTCTCAGGCGGACCACCACCTGCTTCCTTGCTCTTTGGCTCTCTCTGGCCCCTTCCTGGCCACCTCTCGCTCTCTCGCCCATACAGACCTCTAGTCGCAAATCAAACCCAGCACCCAAGTCCTGTCAGACCCGTTTGGCCCACCTCCTGTGGTTCCAGAAACATCGGAGGTGGACCCTCCGGCTCTTCCACCAACATCTGGGTACTGGAGGCTGACATGGAGGTGGATGAGCTTGAAGTCGCCACACTACGGGACGCATGAGACTCGGAGTCTGAATCATCGTCGGGCACTGCACCCAAGCATAGAAGCTCAAAGAAACCTCACAAAACTAAAGACACTGGGTCAGAACAGCTCGGGATTCACGCTCATTTGCAGCACATGTTCTATTAGCGCGGGCCAAAAAAAACTCGACCCTTGCTACTGCTACCTGGCTTTTGGAAAGTTTGACCTCAATCTTGTGCCAAGAGTCCATTCAAGGTATCCATAAGGTGAGATCCTGGAGCCTTTGCCCAAGTCACCCGAAGTTGAGATCATCTCAAGATCTGCTGGCGAACTCTGCAATTGACAGTCCACACGATGATCCTTCCATGGCGAGTTTTAGCCTACAGAAGCACCAGTGTACACGTTCGATCAGGAGGTGGGTCCTCTACTGAGATGAAGGTTTTGGAGGTCCATGATTCACAAACCAACCTCCTACGGCTTCCAACAAATGATCCTGGAGTTGGTATCCGACTGTTTCTCTCCAACGATTGCGCTTGAGTCAAGTTCAATCAGTTTGGGCTGTCGCGTGGAATGGTTCATTAAGCGAGGTGAGAACAGCTCAGAGCGGAAGCGGCGCCGCGGCAAGGATCGGAGGCGAAGAACGTCGCGTGACGTCGTCTCGGCACAGCCAACTCGTCTCGGAGCCGAAGCATCTCTTCCCCCTGAATTCTTCGAAAAACTATTGGTTTCTGCTGGGCCCTCCGATCAAGTTTGAGAGACACCCAATCTGTGAATGAAGCGCAACCAACCTCTTTTTTTCTGTCTTCACAGCGCTCTGAAGACATGGACTGCGTCCTTTAGCCAGGGCACCTGGCTCAATGATGCCAAGTGATGGAATGCTGAAAATGTTGAAAAGGGACCACTGCTGATGTGCATAGTGGCGTGGAGGAATCGATCTCCAGTGAAGACACTTATGGCTCCATGGTGGGGATTCGCGGATTCTTCAAAACCTTTCAAGAATTCTTGCGAAGTCTTTGGCTATTGGCTCCAAAAAGAGCCCCGGGAGCTGCAGGTCTTAGAAGATCTTCTCTTTTAGGGTGGGCACTGGGTGGTACCCTACTCTTGAGCCGACTCACTGCCCTGGGCCGAAAAAAGAGGCCGTGCCACCGCCGCGGAGCTCACGGGCGCGCCTGCGTTCGAAGGCTTTCACTGGCCTCGACATCCATCTGGAAGCCACTGGCCTGGCGGGCAATCGACCTCTGGAGGATCAACGAAACCCAGGCGTCTGCAGGGAGGTGTTCAGCAGTACCATGGAATACCAGCCATTTCGGCACAGTTAGGTTTCGTTTTCACATGTTCACTGTTCACTCAATCCAATGAAACATATTCTCTTCGATATATACTGAGTTTTGCTCCTTGAATGGCCTGAACTGAGCCAACCCCACAACCTACACTTGGATGTGACAGGAAAATGCGCTTCTCTCATCATGGAGACTCCTTTTTTCATCACACCTTCACGAGCTCGTGCACCTCACTCCAAGGCCTTGTGAGGCGCAGCAGGCTGCGGACATGGACCATGGGGATGGACCGATCGACCCACGGTCGAAAAAATTGCTCGACCATGGGGATGGTCCAACGGTGCTAGATGGTAACCTATGGCTATATGGCCATATAGGTCACCTGTGTCCTATCATTTATGTCAACTTTTTTACGTCTACCACACACCGGAACCCCCCGTGTTTTGTTCCACTCGCCGTCCCGTCAGTCCGGCGGCCGTCGTGAAGGCGAGATTGGATCTTTCACTCTTCAAGTCTGAGTAACTTCAACCACTATCTCCAGAAGAAGCACCTCTCCAAGATTGTTTGAATTGAGGTGGCAAAGGCTACGATCTTACCTGTCGTGGAAACATCAACATACAAGGCTAGCCACTGGCTGCTGCAACTTCTCCTCTTGTAAAGCCTTTGGACATCAATTGCAGCTTCGTGTTGCTTCCAAGGCGACCACTTGGCATTGGGATGACCGGGTCCACCATGTTCAGACCTGGTCGGCCCCAGCGAGCTCTAATGCGACTGAGCTGCTCTGAGCATGGGGACATTTCAAGGAAACATGGGAAGCAGCACTGATCTTCACTGATCTTCACTGAACACTTGGTGAAACCATCTCATAACGAACATAATCTGGTTCTTCAAAAAACCACAAAGCCAACTGCCCAACACTGAAGCGAACTTCTTCTCCTTCGGAGTATCCGTGAAAATGAAATCATCGAAAGGTGAATGCCCAGTCCCTTCAGACCGAGCCCGGGCGCGTGGCGCCCGCGAACACGCGGTGGTTGCCGATGCAACCGTTCCGCGGCCAGTGCTCAACCACATGGCCACGTCCGCCAAGACAATTCTGGGCGACGGCGCTATCAGATACCAAGCTGCATCTGAGCGCGTCTAGCTGGCGATGATGATGAGCAAGCTCGGAAAATGTCCAAGCTGACCAACAAAAGGGCTCCCCCGAGTTCGCCTATGATCCCTTATGACCCTTGCGTCTTGAATAGAATAGTTCCACTACTGATTTGAGGAGGCTGAGTGCAGGGAGCCCTTTTTCAAAGCTGAGCGAGCCCTACACCGCAACCTCAGTGACTTGAATTGCTTTCTGCAGCAAATTGAGGACGTGGACATGTGAACCATTGACGTTCACTTCCTGCGCAAAATCTGCAGCAGTGCGTCCTTGGCACGTCACCTCTGGATCAGCGCCCACGTCCAAAAGGATCCGCAGGGTCTCGTCATCTCCCTGCTGAGCAGCCACATGCACCGGATAGACCTCCAGTCCATCAATCGCAGTCGCTGCCTTGGGGCAATGCACATCTGAAAAGCCGTGCTTCTTGAGGAAGTCCTGCGCTCAGGGAGGTTCCAAACAGAATCCGAAAAAATCTCACCCCCTCTTCTCTTGTCAAACAAACGCTCAACGAAAGCTCTCCACCCAGTCTACCCACCCTGAAGGACCTCTGAGGGCCCCTTAGGTTCAACCACTTTTCGCACCACTTCTGCGAAGTCCTTCACATACCGTTCATTGAGCTGCTCCAACACACTGTCCACCGTGTTTCCTCTGAGCATCTCACTGGAGCCCTTCCGAAGCATCCGCATGCGCATCGCTCCCTTCCGTGTCGGCATCTCGAGCCAACGTGTCTGAGGCCTGCGGAATCTGGAGCTTTCGGAGAAATCCTATACAAACCATTCGTGGAAAAGGCAGAACTGCAGAACTGCAAAAGGATAAATAAAGAACTAGGACACCAGTACTGTGTGCCCCGCCAAAGCAGCAAACAGCCCTTGATGAAACCACAGCAATTCTGCCGTCCACTGCAGTGAAACCACTGCCAGCGGATCGCACCCCCCAAGTGATGTTGTTCCATGAAGTGATTCATCCGATTGCATGGAATGAAAACAGCGGCCCTCCAACACATCAAGTCCATGTCCAAATAATGGAGCCTTGCAGAAAAAAACAAATATATACCAGAAGAGAAACTGCAGCAGCAGTATTGTTTATGGTATAAGTGCTGCGAAATGTGACTCTCACATCCACATGCCTAACACCAGTCAGACCCAATCAAGGAAGTGTTGGTGCCAGACCCACGCATGGAAACCCGCAATGAAACAAAAGTCAACCCCAAATTCCATCTGAGAACACAACAACAACCATCTCATGTCTCCAATACAAAACCCTGAATTCAACCGCTCTTTCCCCTTTCCATAGTCTTTCTCCTCTCCTTCGGTTCTCCCCCCAAGTTCCGTGCCGCACTTCTCCCATCGCGGGCGCGCGATCAGCGCTAGCGCGCCCCGGGCCCCACGACCAGGATAGGACCAAACCTTTCGTGGCGTGACGCCGCAGATTCGCCAAGGCCACGACCTGGACCAGCCGGAGGGTTGGAGCTGAAAGCCGCAGAGGGCGGGGAGGGCGGAAACTGGGAGTCGATGGTTGAGACCCAAAGAGAGTCGTAGTTGGCTCGAAAACACTGCCTTCTGGTGAAGATGCTTGGTCTTTTTCTTGCGGGATCTTTCTGAGGAAAAAGTGTGACCTATGGTTCAGTACCCAACATGTCAACCAAGCAAAGGTGATTAGAATCAGAAATTGTTCCCCCTCCAAGGAAGTTCCTTTTAAAGGCACCAAAGTCTTGCTCAGCTGTCGCAATTGACGATAATTAATTCTCCACATTTGCTTTGCTTGCACCTTGCAGCTCTATGTCTCTAAGTGATCAAGTACTGCACCTGGACTGGAACCCTTGAAGCACAGAGGAAACACGTGGCACCCTTGCAACAAAGAAACTCCTCTGTCAAGACTTCTTACAACAGGGCTTCAACCGCGTTGGTTCCCCCATCATTGTATCTTCCAATGAGACCATCTGAAGCTCACACAGGACACCGTGTATCCTGCTTGCCTTGGGCGACACCTGACATCCGCCCCAACGTGGGCCTCCTTGGATTCAGGAATGTGTTCCAAGACCTCCAGGCCACTGGTTCGCTGCGCCGTCGCTGCGATGAAACTGCTTATATATATATATATATACCGTATACCCATGACCGTCATAATCCCCAACAATGCACGACTCGTTCAGCGGGTTGACTGCTATGTTATATCACCCCATAGTGCTTCCTGTGCATGGTGGAACAGGACGCATAATTCCTCCTTGAAGAACAGATACACCGATACACCCCCTGGAACAAAACATGGAGGTCCGAGCGGAGAAGGGGCCGAAGACACCATTGCAAGGTGGCTTGGCTGCGGATTTGGCAAGCCCAATATGTCCATAAGCTGTCTTGAACTCGTGAGGTAGCTTCTTTCCTCAGCACCATGAAATCGCTTTGTTACCGGTCATCTTGGTTGCCTAAGGTTCAAGCAAAGTGTGTGACACATTGGTCATGAGTGAAACACGAAAAGACATCATCCTCCAGAAGTCTGGCCGCGCCTCGAGGCAGATTAGCCAATCAAAGCGCCTGACAAGACCCGTGACGGGCGCTTGGCCGTGGAACGGAGGATCAAATCAAGGCCCGTGGGGTGTGGGCGTCATGGATCCAAGATGTGCCAATGCCTGGTGCGTCGCCATGTGTCACCTGTCATTGAAACGTGTCGAACCCACAGATGTGTGCCGAAAACGGCAAAAGCCAGGCACAGCTCTATGGCTTTGTTTTCCTGTACTCCCGTTCGTCATCCTTCTCACCTCCCAATTCTCCTTCCTTCCCCTTTGTCCATGACTGATGGCTCTTCTGTCACCTTGACTAGCATCAACTACATAGACTTCCTTCCAACACCACTGCACAAAAACTGCGGTAAAGAGAATTCAACGTCTTCCTGACGGAAGTCCGACTCGTCCTCCCCGTCCGGTCGCGTCCTGCCAAGGTCGAAGGGCTCGTCCAACCTTTGGGTTTGCACCTCAGTGGCCAGGCCTCTGATCACCTCTGAGCCTCTGAGTGATCAACGCCGACGTGATCAACGTTCTCTGAATCAAACATGAAAGTTGACGTGAAAGTTCGATGCTCAGACGTTACCAGTGCAAAGGTGAAACATCTTGAGAGAGGTAAGAACACGATGTTCGACCAGGGACCAGGTTCGCCATGTGATTCACTTCCCAGTGTGGATATTTCAATGTCACGTTACTGTTTGTGTTCCCGTAAAGATACACCATGGTCACCTATGGTCAAATTCTTCTTTTTACCATCCTATGTGTTTATGTTTGTTCGCCTTGTTGCACATGTTAGGGTACAAACCATTTATATAGCTGTTTCGTTTCACCGTGATCGGTACGGTTCCAGCGCCCACTTCGTGCCACCACGGCACGGCACCACCCGTGTAGAGGGAAGCCTTGGAGGATCCGTCGAAGGCTGAGCAGCAGTACCTGGGTGCCGCGTTGGAGCTATGGAAGGAATATGAAGGAATCATGGGTCCTTCCTATTGAATCACATACTCATCATACCCATATAGGCAGCGCGGCAAATGGAACTTTTCAGGGATTCTATGTATATACAGTAGATTCGATGCTTCCTAAATCCATCCTACTTGTTGTATGACATCTTCCAGCTACACTAAATATGATCAGTAGGTCGGAGCAGTACCCCTCTCTGGGTCCTCGTCCTTCATGAGTCCAAGAGTGAAACGGACACACTTCTTTTCCCTAAGACTAAGAACAGAATCCTTTTTGAACGCTGCAGGACAGGTCCACACTGAATGACACTTAGCGCGGAATTCCGCTGGAGTTCTCCGTGCCTCTTTCGCACGATATCAGTGAGTCTTTCGCACGGTATCAATTTCGCCTATAAAAGCATGGTTTTGAAAAATGGCTCATGAAGGGGCCAAGCATGCGTGTCAAGCACAATGATGGCATTATTCCAGGGCTTGGCTCAAGTCTTGGCTGAGATTCACCTCCCAGGTCTTGTGCTTGAATGAACATCTGTGAGTCCCCCACTCGCCCGTCTTGTTAAAGAATTTGCAGTAGTGCCCGCCTGGAGGACGTGGCAAAGCGTTCGCAAAATAAGGAAATCACACAAAGTGTGCTGGGAGCAACAAGTTCCAGAGTGCAGAATGGCCTTGCAGTTTCAGCATTTCCTGTGAATCGTACTGTTCTCGATGTTTGCATATATATCTGAGATATACACTATCTGCAAATAACTTGTCTTCAAATCATCTGGCACAGCCTGGAGACTTTGCTTTGCCACTTGGGCGCCGAGGACGCAGACCCCTCCCGCCTCCGGCACCGAAGTCTGCCAGACTCGTGTGGCAGCCTTCCCCATGACCTGTGACTCAGTTTGAGTGCGGCTCTTGGAATGAATGGACCTAGTCTGGACTGTCTAGATCTTTGCAAATCCCTAGTTCAAGGCCAAAATCCAAAACACGTGTCAACTTTTATTGAAGAGTTCACCTTTTCAAGATTACCCAGATCTCCGTATATACCCATGAAGGCATCTGATATCATAATCCTTACATTGCCGTGAAGCTCCCCCAACCCTGCCAGCACTGCGTGCCTTTGGGTGCTGGCCACAAACGCACCAGGGAGGCCAACAAAGCATGATCCAAGTGCCAACCATTCGTCAAGTTCCGCACCTGTCATCCAAACCCACAACCAGAACACACACGTTGAAAAGGGCCACTTCCCATATGCTAGCTCAGCAAGCCCTCCAAGCTTCGACAATGCAAATCAGGATGAAAAGTTCAAGAGCGCAAACAAACAAGCCGGGCATGGCAATGAAAGTCATGTCCAGAAAGGCACCTCCTCCGTCCTGGAGGCAGGAGATGGTGCTTCAAAAGTTGTCTCTACATCAGCCAGCACACGATTGAAACAAACCTATTGGAAGTATTCTTCAGAAATATGAATATGTATGTCACGTGTAGAAAATGCCACGCCTTTGTGGCTATTCCAGATCCAGCAAAGCATCCCGTTAGAAAAGGGATGAAAATAGTTGTTGCTTCCTGCTTGAAGGAAGCGATGTCTTCTAATATACCCAATGGCAGAAACCCAAAGTGTTACCAATACAACCAATGCCTTCGAAAATAAGTATCTCCAACAGGAGCAAATGGCGCCCCAGTTGAGAATACAAAGTGCCTCACCACAACAGTAATGGGTTGTGAATATATGTGAACATGCTGTGCTGCTTGCTCCACATGAGGATGCATTTTGTTGATGTTTGCCCCCCTCCAACAATCTTCCACGATCAGGTGATGAACTATTCTCGTCACCAATGAATAGAAAGACTCGAGCCACCACCACTGTCCTGATAAGGCGAAGGGGATGCCGCAGGAAGCCTGGGCTCTGATCTGCCGGGAGCACCTCCAGCTCCCGAGAGTAGATCTCTCGATCGCTCCGGTTGGGCTCAAATGGGAATGAGGATCAGGAAAAGGGTAATCCAATTCATTCCTACTCCACGTTAGCTTAGGATCTTGTTCACCTCCTAAGAATGGAGAAGTAGAAAAAATGCACAAAAAAGATACAGTACTGAAACTCCCAACAAATCGCTCAAACTTCCTGTCTCCACATCCGTCTGCTGCAGTTTTTGGGTTATCATCATTGGGCGCTCCCAGCGTGATATCCACGGAGTCCTGGCGCTTCTCCGCCAACTTGTCCAGGGTCAATCTCACCTGTAACGCCGAGGTCTGGGGAACCGATGGCTTTTTCGCATCCCGTCGACCGTGGTCTGGGGCGACTCCCAAGCATCAGCAAACACAGAGAGGTGAATCAGGGAGAGTCCAGGATGCACAGCTTGCTGGAGTGCTGGGAGTGTGAAGTATTAGTTGACTTGACATCGATCATATTGCTTACCCTTGAGTTTTGGATTCATATTCTACTGGACAAGCAGGAGGACTCGCGAAGAGAAAGACCACACGGCCACGCAGTCCATTCTTCAGCGCTTAGCCGTAGCCTCTTCTTCCACCTTCCCCATCCTTCTCACCTCCGCAAAGGCGTCTGCAAAGCGCGCCGCAGCGGTGAGCACGTCGATCCTGGGCGCCCCACGATTCGGGCGGCATGCCAGCTGGCGTGCGCTTGGCGCTTTGCGCCGGTAGAGGCTTTGAAGAGATGGACATCTGGTGAATGAACTAACTGGATTTTACTTCATCTATGTTTAGATGAAGGCAAGAGATGGCAAGACTAGTGCATCCCATGTTCCATAATTTCAGCTCTCTTGCGTATGGAAATCTTGTTTAGTTGGTTTCGATCTTGGACAATGGCAGAGTTACACTCAAATTCTTGTATGTGAACACATCCTGTGTTCCTGTCATGTATGGTGACCCCTGATCTTCAAATATCAGCAGCAATAAGTAAGTTGCAAACCTGAGAAACCCCTCAACAAGCATAGTCTTCCTTTGTAGGGGAGGACCCAGCAGCGCTGAGTTTGGGTGCTTTCTTTCTGTATTCTCACAACATGAACAAATCACCCACCTCAAAAAGAGAACCATTAAAGTTCCTCAAGGTATCTTCTTGTTACATTATATGTCTATGTGTTGTTATACAAGGAGAACATCCCTGATATGGGTGTGCTGAGATAAAGCAAACAAACATATAATATAATATGTGAAAACATGATCCGATGGTGATTAGAAAAGTTTCAAAGGCAAACAACACCTAAAAAGGAGGGACTTATACGCAGAGCAAGCCTAGGAAGCCCTGAACAACTCATCGAAGAGTTGATGCAAATCTCAAATGATCATGTGCATGCGTCGACGTGAGAAACATTGCAAACTATTGAGCTATCAACTAGTAACAAGGTTCGCTACTAGGGGCTCCTGGCCTTACTACTAGGAGCAAGGACGCTACTAGGGGCTCCTGGCATCGCTACTAGGAGCATTCTTACTACTAGTAACAAGAAGCTACGTAACTTGTTTATTTCTATCTGATTTCATCTCTGTCCAGGGCTGAAACGTTGGAAGCAAATGTCGGAGGACATCAGTCGAGGTCTGCGGCTCAGAAGAAAGAAGGCTCCGAAGTCTTGCAAATTAAGGCTCAGAAGACGAACAAAGATTTCAGCAGATGCAAGTATACTCGTCTATATACTCTACGTAGCAAATATCTCTTGGAAGGTGAGAGCTACAAGAGGTGGGTTCTACTTGGTTTGTCACCAATGGAAGACTCTGGAAGACCATGATGCTAGTCTTTGTCTCCGTGGTAGTCAAGGGTCGCAAAGAACTTAGATGCAAGGACTTGATCTAAAGGGTACATTATATCGCAGTCACATAACTTGGAAGGAAGCTTGTGGGCGTAGGAGGCATTCAATGCCATCCTGTCCGAACCAAAATGCTTCACATGCACCAGGACAAATCCAAACATAGGGAATTGATAATATGAAGACCATCGTCCATTATCTCAATGTTCTGCAAATCAACATCTGCTGGTGCATTCGGATTTGGATGCTGGGTCTATCCTAGCACATCGCAAGGTGCAGCTTGCAGTAGGTAAGAAACCTCGCACAGGGACCATGCATCGTTCCAAGGTGAATTGAATTATATATATATATATATGCACCAGTCTGAAAATGTAAGCAGGTGCAAGTCGTTCGAACACCCAACAGCTCCCAACAGCTCCCGCTGAATGAGGGCGGAACATCGCGGTACCCGGTCGCCCTACCGGTTCGCCGGACGGGTGGCCCGAGTCGTCGGGGGGTCGGTTCCAACTCTTCGGCCTCGAAGATGGACATCCGCGAGTAATAGATCGCTGAGAGCTGCATCTTGTGCACCTGGACGTCGCTGAGAGCTGCAGACTCGAACCGCTCCAGTGGGGGGACTGAGGACTGTGAGACAGTGCTCCAGAAGGGCTCCAGTCGTGGCGCCTTTTGATCCTGAAACAGCAATTGGCCAACTTTGGGCCACGTTGACAGCATTGGACTTGGAAATCATACAAATTTTGGAACCCAACTGCTGCAAGTTCCAGCTGCAACTAACTGTAAGCTACGGCAAAACCAGAGAACTGTGTAGAAGCGTGGAGCCGCTGCTGCTTCAAGCACTGACACCATGCACTACCGCCTGCGGTCAGGAGAAGATGAACGGGCAGCTGCAGCACCCCAAATAGAACCCCACACAGCGGCCGCGCCCACAAACCCAGCACCGATGGCACCCACAACACCACCTACTACACCAGCACCAGCCGCAGCGACAACAGTGGCACCATCGAAACGCTCCATCGAGCTCAAACTCTGCTCAAGCTGACTTACCTCTGTTTCCTTCCTCTCCAAGTCACACTCAACTCCTCTTAGCTTTGCATTTTGTTTATCCAAGCTCAGCTCAAGCTGGTGCACTCTTGTTTTCCAAGAGTTGCAATCCAAAATTTGTTGGTCCAATTTTTGCCTTAGCTCAAATGCCTTTGTCTCCATCCACTTGCAATTATACCTTTCTTCCCACAAATCCAAGGTCAACTCACGTGATCGTTTTCTGAGCCAAATACATTTTCCAACCAGAACGGTTTGTAAGCTAGCGAAAGCAACAACAAATGCAGCGGTTGCAAAGGGTTGTGGGGACTTGAAGGCTCCACACATGGTCTTTAGGCACTCCAGGACAGCGTGACCCCTCAATCGCATGTTCTCTTCTTCCAGTACTAGCACCCGGTGCTGTAGCCGTTGCCTCTCATCACAAAGCCACAAGCACGTGCAACCAAGAATCAGAAGGCTCAGTAGAGCAAACACTAGAGCACCCCTGGCAATGACGGGCAAGGGCTCAGGTGGATGTTCAACATTGATGAGGCGGTTCGGAACACTGGCATGGTGCTTAAAGCTCTTGGCAGGGTTCTCACGCATCTCCGCTACCTGCTTGGAGCTCCTGGCAGTATTCCCACACATCTGCACCGCTACCTTCTGTCGCAGCGCCACACGGTCTTCGATACCTGCAACTTCTCCACAGTCTGGCTTCCCGTTCAAGTCCCGCTCTATGCTGTCTGCATCCTCCATGGATGAGAGAAGAGTGTCAAACTTTTCATCAGTAACAAATAGATCGAAGCGTAGAGACAGCTCAGTAGATTCGCACTTCAATTCACACATCTGCCGATTCCGTGTATTTCTCATCACGGAGGATCCCACGTGCTCATACAGCTCTTTGAGAGTATATGCTTGGTTTTGATACAAATAATGACACAAAGCGTGAGCAAAGGGACCAGACGATGATGCCCCGAAAGCATCCGAAGCCTGTCTCCCTGACAAGCAAGATCGAATTTCTCCATACTGACGAGTCCTTCCTCGCAAGCTTCGATACCCGCTGTGTGTCTCTATTGCCCCCAAATCATCTCTGCAACAATCAAACATTGAGATCAGCGCAAGGCTTTGGTTTGGGGCAGGGGTCCGCATGTTGAGAATTGGCTTTGTGAGTTCCTCCTCTGCAAGCATCCCTGCAGATGGATGTCCACATGAGGCATCGCTAAAGCACAGGTGCAACTTTGAATTGATTTCAGTGCCATGCCCAGCAAAATATAGAACAACAACTTGAGTTTCCTGGTTGACGGCGGACAAAAGTTGATCGTATTCATGCTGGAAATCTTTGTCATTCACCACATCCTGGGCAACTGTATGACATGTATAGCCGAGGGACGCAAAGGCACGCGATACCTTCACTGCATCAGCAGCTGCATTCGGAAGAGCATTCCATTTCCCCTGGTTTGAGTAGCTCGAGATCCCAATGCAAAAGCAAAGCTTGTTGGCACTTACATCCACATTGCATTGATCAGCAGAGTCACTACACTTGACAAGACCACTTGCTATTTTTGATTTCCAGATCTCCAGCTTTTTCCTGAAATCATGGTACCAGTCCCTCACGCGTTGATGGGCTTTGAACTCTGAAAACCTGCTCGGAGAAGCACGAACAAGAATGGTAGTCCAAAGGCAAACACTCAACAATTCTAAATTCCAGGAGGCCCAGCAAGCCAAGGAAAGAAAACGATTCCACAAATTCTGCAGTTGCCTGAAGTATGATCTGAGAAGGTCCTTGTCAGAAATGTTTGCAGTGCATTGAGTCGATTCAAGGCCCAAAGCCTCAAAGCAGTTTGGTCTCAAAGAAATCCGCTGGACAGAGCACCTCGGCTCTTCTAAAATCTTCAATGCAAGCCTAAGATCAAAAAACATCTAAAGTTGGTATCCTGGTAGAATGGTAGCTGATCCAAGCCGAAAGGGAGCAACTTGCGGCCGGAAATTTGAAAGCACCATCCACGACAATCATCGTTCTCAAGAGTGCAAGCTGAACAGAATTTCCAGACTCAGGGGACCCACAAGCACTTGGCCCCTTCTTTCCAGCCAAACAAAACGACATATATATATATATCCATATATATATATAATATATATATATAACTTCACATTCTTTGTCCAGTGAAAGAAGACGTGATGAATACTATTCACCCCCTTCCTTTTCACCCTCGCTCCTCTTCTGAAAGCTTAGCTGCCCAGGTGACAGCATAGCCTGAAGAAGTGAAGCAGAGCAACTTCGTCGTCGGCGAGGTTGTGCGTGGGAACTTCATGCCAGTGTGCAACCAATCGGATTCGGATTAAGATCGGTTTGTTCCCCAGTGGTTCAGGCCCAGAAGACCTGAAGCTGGAGCCCTGTTTCTGGGTTTTCGGGAGCCACTCAATTGCTCCCAGCCCAATGATCATTGAGCAAGGACGGTGTGTATGTGAACCAGAGAGTTCGTTCGGGCTGGAGTCAACAGGCCACGAGCCTCACAATGCCCAAGGTGCTCAGCCAACCAGCATAACAACAGTTCGAGTTGGCTAGAGACGCGTGAAGAAGTTCACCCAAAAATGTAAAATCATGAAGAGAGAGGGTCATGTAGTTTCTATCATCAGAAGTGGAAGCTTGGTTCACGGCACTACCTGACGTTTCACTGCCAAGAAGAGGATCTTCTGACGCCAGGGCTGAGCGGCCGGGCCCAGATTGTTCCGGAGAGCCGGGTACATGCACCTGCCAGGTATCCCAGAAGTAGATTGATACCTAAGAGATGAAGGGGGGTTGAACCACTCAGTTTGGCAAAAGGTTGGATCAATAAACCCTGTTGGGACTCTGGTTAGATTTTAAACTACAGTTGGTTAGGCTGAAAAACTGCACGAAGACTCGAGATTCAAAATACCGCACTGCTGTAGGCCTGTATTTCGTGTCTTGGTCTCAAACTGCCTGGCCTTTCCCCGTGAACCATGCTCAGCACATGGAGAAAGTCCAGGAGATGCGAGGTCGTCCTGAGGGAACACATCGACACCTACGTGGCACCCGCGTGCACCTGTGCATGCTGAACATGCAGAAGTCGTTTCAGTTGAAATTCCTTCCGCATATTGACAGAAACAATGTCCAAGCAGTATGTTGGAAGCAGATTCACCCTCCCTCAATCTATTTGGGTTTGGGGCGGTGAAATTCCTTTCTTGGTGCCAGACCAAAACCTGACAAGCTGACACCTTGAGGAAACCCACAGGAATGGTGGGCACCTCCTTTTTAACCGCGTTGACCACCTCTCCTGTTTCACATCTGTGGGCTAGCCGCGGCGATTGAAGAAATTATGTAGAACACTGACAGTCACATACATGTTCATGACTCAATACAAAGTCAGAGCTCTGACGCTTGCAGCAAAGCCAACCTTCTCGACTGCTCAAAAGCCCAAATATGCCTGGTCTTCGCTTTCCATGACAGTCGAACCCCTCTCCCTCTGCCCGTCTCCTGTGCATCTCGATCACGGGCTGCAGGAGGGCATAGTAGTTAGAGGAGGTGAACCAATCTTGTGGCGTTTGGCCTCCCATGCAGAGAAGACGTGAAGACAAACAGCATTTGGAAGAATATTGTTATGCCGGTATGCCTTTTTATCTGTTTGGAGACTTCTAAGTCTCAAGCGAAAGAATTCGGAATCAAAACCAGCTACAAACGTCCGAAGGGCAGCGCGGAAACGACCCCAGCGCATCATTGCATCAAGGGCCGAATCCAACGGGTTCCAAGTTTATGAAGAACAAAGGCCTTGCAGAACAGGCCCTGCCCAAAAAAGACCCTTAGCTTGGTATCAACCTTAAATGGGTCCAAAAAATTAAGCAGTGCACATGTATATAGATGCAATGGTGGATGCTCCCAGCATCGAAGGACATTGCCACCAAACACGTGCACGTTTACAAAAGCTCTTCAATGGTGGATGATGGCCCCGCAGGCTACCCGGCTACTTGTGAATGACCATCACTTTAAGACTTCCAAACCACAAAGTTCGCACCTGAAAAGCCAATGCTCACCAACGTATCCTGCATTCACTGGCACACAAGACTTGGAGAGGGCCAACGTTCTTGCGGGACATGTTGTTGATCACATAGCACTAAAACATGAAACAACAGCCAACACATGTTTTATCCGTTCAAGACTGCAACTTCTACACGACTTCTACCGCGAAACTCCATTCCTCTCAGGGTTCACGTAAAGCAAGACTTGGACCGAGAGCCAAGTAAAGCTTCTGCTCTTCTGAGGCCAAATCATTCCCGGAGTCATCCCCACGGCCAAGGGGCCGTCAATGCTCCAGAACAAACGGCCTGTATGGATGATTACGGCCCATAATGATCAGTCATCAATTCTTCATCATGTTTGTTGGATTGTCTGGCACCAATTCTGTGACGGCAAAAGATCTCCTTCCAAAAGTTCAAGTCTGCCTTGCTTTGGGCGAACGAAGTGTGGTACTTCTGGGCGACCTCAGAAAGCAAGAAACCGTAAACGCAAAAAAAATCATGCAGGTTTGAGTGGATTAAACACCAAAAGTATAAATATGACGCGTGTGTTGGTATGACTTGCAATTGTTGACTCTTTCCTCTCGCCCAGCATGTCATGGATCTTTTTCCACCTGAAACTACCACCGATGTGGTGCCTCTCAGCCACTGGCCCAATCCAGGAGGATCATCACCTTCCTGCACCGACCGGATCGATCGGTGGCGCCAGTGAAGGACTTCGTAGAACGAGCGCGCGCACCAATGAATTCACCGGTGGACTCTGGGGGGCGATCCTTTCGGTCCCCTCCAGAATCGCTCCCACTTCTCCCGTTTCAGCAACTGGGTGATTCCCCCTGCGCCATCCTCCAACAGCAGTTCCGCACCCATCGATAAACCACATCTCTGAGCAGCCGCACAAGCAGGGGAAGTCTTTGGACGCCAGTTGCGGCATCGCGGAGTCCGACCTCTGGACGCATCGCGTGGTGGCATTCAGGCGAGTCTGGACTGGCGGCCGGACTCGCGATGGATGCGGTGGATGAGCGATGTGATCCATGGAGCCATGAGCCATGGGATGTCCAGTTCTTTGGAGAGCTTGAGATGGGTTGACCCAGCGGCTAACTGGGAGTGCTGGGCGCATGGTCCCAGGCGGAAAGCCCACTGAGTAATACACTACATCTTTGGACTCCAACGTGCTTAAGGTGTTTCTGGAACGCTTGTAAGACAACCTGCACAAGCTCTCATTGTTCAAGAGCACCTTTGGCCAATCAAACTTGCAGCATTTATTTTTAATCTGCAGTGAGGAAGAAAGAATAAGAGATGGCGAAGAAGTCTTACAGCACGTATTTCAAAGCCTGAAAAATAATAGACATTTGCATTTACATCTCATCCAACTCGCCCTATTTTTTGTTTGGGCATGAACAAAAATCAATTAACAAAAACAAATTAAAGCAAACCAGACTCGCTTAGTCCGAAACAGCCAGTAGGACACCAGCGGAGCAGATGCAAATTGAAATAGGCCCTGGCAACTTGAAACTGCGACACATTGAATGCAAAAGTCATCTCAGGAATGCAAAAGGCATATCCATTGCTTAGCAAACATCGACGGCCAGCCAGAAAGGGCATGGAGAATGAGGAGATCCTTTGTCCATGTTGGTCTACTATTTCCAATGAAAGGTTTTGGGCATAGCTCTTGAGGCTCATCCCTGGAAGAAGGAAACTTATATATAAAGATCAGGTCGTGTCAGCATCAAGACTGGTATGTCATTTTCCAGCCACTCTGTCAACAACCGTTTTTATGTCAAAGTCGGATCTTGAGCATTGTGCAACTGTGTGCAATTGCTACATACTTGGGTCTTCTTGCAAGGGGCCAGACTCTAGCAAACAAAACGAAGCAAGGGTGGACCACGAAAAAAGACTCCCAAGATTCTCCCACATGCATCATGCTTAAACCACCCAGGTGAGTCTGTTCATGGCTCCAGGTGATGCTCCAATAGATAGATCTGTATACTGTATATACATTTTTTTATATATACAAATATGTGCTTCCCTCAATTTTAACCGTTAACCGGAGCCTCACCCACCCAGTCCCGCCTCCAAGTCGGGGGGTGGTCGATTCGCCGCCGCAACAGCCAGGGCTCCTCGGCAGTCGAGGCGGGTGGTCTGTTGGATGAGATTGAAGAGTAGAGAGTAGACAAAAGCACCTCCACTGCGGAAGATCGGCATTTATTGGCTTTTCACATGGGAAAGAAGGTTCCAAGTCTGCGTTGATTGGTTTTTCTAAGTGGCGGCTTTCACCGGGTGCTCCCAGATGCTTCCGGGGCGGTATGGCTTTAGCACAGGGAGCCCATGGACCACAGTGCTGCCGCCACAAGTGGAGGCTCCATAGGGCAGTAGATCCATGTTGGAGCCCATGTTGGCTCCATGTTGGCTCATCCATGAGGATGAGGGAAGGATCAGGATGAGGACAAGTCCCCAGTGTCGTTTGCTTCACCCACACTGCGGACACCTTTGGTCCAGGGCACAGGATCCAACATGTTTGTTAGCACTTTGGTTGAACTCTGTGAAGGCGGAGTTCAACTGAACCGATTGCAAGTGGACGGTCGCCACAGCTGATTGCAGAAAAGCACTTGCCAACCTGAACACCGCCCGAATCCGGGGTCCTAAGCACCATAGCTTCATCATGTGCCTGGGTCAAAGGCGGCTTCCTTCACACACACACAATTGGCAGTCCATGTGTTTTCTACATGATTCAGAGTTGGCCAGACCAACAGTTCGGTGACTCATATGCAAATGCTATTTTGGGTTCAATCCCTAACCCCTCCCCTGCCTCCAGATACTGCAGCCATTGCATGCATCACCAACACATGTCAAATTATATAAATCAAGCAACATATCGTCAAATCTCCAGAAGCTGCTTCTTTGACCATCAACTCTCTAGAATTAACGAAAGGAGTTGTATGCACTGTAGGTGAAAGAGTTGTGCTACAAGTTTTTTCTTCAGGGTTTGGCTGTGGAGAAGCCGTTACAAAGGAAGTACATGTGGTTTGGGTACCGTC